TGCAGAAATGTTCTATAGTTTTCTCTGTATAGGTCTTAAGTATCTCTTGGAAAAGTTTTTTGATGTACATAAAGATTGGATTTTTAGAAGGTCTTATTAATCTATCTTATCTTTCCTTGGTTGTAGGTTTTTCATTATGCATGGCAGTTATTCATGCTATAGATTAGAATTTCTAGAGTTGTTCCTAGTCTTTCTCTGATGAACTTTATAGTCTTTGGTGAACAAGATGTGTATTACAAAGTGAACTGAGGAGGGGGAAAGAAGAAAATATGTACAAATCACTGAATACCCAACCTTTCTCTAAACTTTCACTAATAGCACAATTTAAAAGTTAATATATAAATAAGAATAGGTTGTCGTTGCTGTTATGTGCCATCGTCACTTGCAACTCATAGCTATCCTATATTACAACAGCTCTGAACTCTGCTCTATCCTGTGTCTAGATACACACCCACCCCCTTTACCCCATTTACTGAATCAATCCATCTCATTGAGAGTCTTCCTCTCTTGCACTGTCCCACGATCCTCCCAAGCATGATGTCCTTCTCCAAGGACTGGTAACTCCTTGCAACATGCCAAAATATGTCAGACGGAGCTTCAGAATCCTTGCCTCCAAGTAGCAGACTGGTTTTATCTCTCCAGGACAAGCTTGTTTGTTCTCCTAGCAGTCTGTGGAATATTCAATACTCTTCTCCAGCACCATAGCTCAAAGGCATCAATTCGCCTTCTATCACCCCTAGTCATTTTCCAGGTTTCTGATGCATAGCAAATAATTGCAAAGATCATGTCCTGAACCAGACAGTCCTCTGGTATTCTCTGATTTCACCCACGATCCATCTGACATTAGCTATAATGTCCCTAGTACTAAGGCCTCTTCTAAACCAGCCTGCACATCAGGCAGTTCTCTGGTGATGTGCTGTTCCAGTCATTTTTGGATAATCTTCAGCAGAATCTTGCTTGCATGTAATATTAATGATATTGTTAGATAATTTCTACACTCTGTTGGGTCACCTTTCTTTGGAATGGGAACAAATACAGATCTCTTTCAGTCGTCCTCCAGATTTCTTGGCACAACTTGATGAGCACATCCAAGGCTGTGTCTTTCTGTTAAAATACATCAATTGGTATACCGCCAATTCCTGGAGACTTGTTTTTTGCCAGTTCTTTCAGAGCAGCTTGAACTTCTTCCTTTATCACCACAGGCTCTTGCTCATATGTTGTTTCATGAAATTCTTCTCTGTCAGCCAATTTCTTTTGGTACAGTGACTCTGTATTGTCCTTCCATCTTCTTTTAATGCTTCCTGAATCCTTTCATATTCTGGCTAAAGCATCCTTAAGTATTGCAACTCATGTTTTGAATTTGTTATTCAGTTCCTTCAACTTAAGAAATGCCAAGCAAGTTTGACCCTTTTGATTTTCTGACTCCAGCTCTTTGCACAGTTCATTATAATACTGTCTTCCTGCACTGCCCTTTGAAATCTTCTATTCAGGTCGTTAATTTCTTCCCTTTGCTTTGGCATCCCAGTGCGCTAGCGCAATATTCATTGTCTCATCTGACATCCATCTTGGTTTTTAAAAAATAAAATATTATTCAAAATGAGTGATCCTGGAGGACATTTTGCTGAGTGAAATATCTCAGTCACAAAAGGACAAATGCTGCATAGTGCCACTGTTGTAAAACAGGACTGACATCAGGACTGGGTGGAGACTGAGAAAGATGGGATAACTAATGTATAATGCATTGCAACAGATGAGGGAGAAAACTGTTTAAAAGTGATATGTGATTAGGTTTTATTGTCATGACATGAGTAAGGCTGCACAGTGGAGTGGACCTGGTGGGGAGGGATTGTATTAACAATGAAAGAATTTTTCTTTTACTTTTCAAAGAGAAGAACGAACTAGAAGGGAAGGGTGGGCAGGGAGAAAAGTACAACAATGAGTGAATGGAAATCCAAAGTTTCTGTAAATTTTCATTAAAATTAATAATAATAATGTTGTTGTTGTTGTTGTTAGGTGCCATCGAGTTGTAGACGACTCACAGCGACCCTATCAACGAAAGGCCTGAGCACTGTTCATAGAGTTTCCGGAGGCAAGCCATTTCAGAAGTGGAGCCACTCCTGCTTCCAGGCTTGTTTAGGTCGGGAATCTCCAGCAAACACCGTCCACCATGGGTGACCATTATCACATTTGGCACATCAGTGTAACAGTGTTCAGCACCACAGCAACCACGAGTTACCTTTGTGCAGCCAACCAGGAAGAACATGGCTGCCTTCTCTCCCCTCTCCCTCTGAGGCTTAAAGCCCCCTCCTGCCTTAAACCCTAGGCCAAGCCTGGCTTGCCTCGCTCCTGGAGGCAGAGCTGTCCTGCACATCAAACACAATCCCGAAAAAGCACTCGACTCCAAAAGCTTGCCATAATACCTGTGCGCATGCACCACCATGCTCTCTCTGGCAACAATAAGTCACAGAATAATAATAATAAAAGAAAAATATAATAAAATAAATAAATGTAGGTTGACCAGTATGGCACATGCTTTGGCACTACTTGAAGGGGGCGTGATTGAGAAGTCTCTATGTCCTTCCTCAGGTAAAGCTGACATCTGGAGGGGATAAAAACCCAGGAGGACATAGGAGGGCACTTCCTCCCTGGTTTAAGGCCAAAGAGGCACCCGAGAAACATGGAATGACATTCCAAGCACACACATATGAAAGGCACCTGACTGAAGAACCTGGACAGGAGAGGAGAAAGCATTTCTGCCACTATGTCACTGTCATGAAAGTTCATTCACTTTGAGATGTTTGGAGAAGGGAACTCAATTTAGAAAGTGGCCCTGGGTGCCCAACTTAGAGACTGTGCTGTGTGCTCCTTACTTTCTCTATCATTCCTGTCTCCAAGCCCCCCTCCTGCTCCCTTATACAAGTGATGACCCACACAGGATCACTCATTATCTTAGACACACAACCCGTGTCTTCCAATCTGTAAGTCGGCTCACTCAGGGGACAAAGGAAAAATACACCCTCAGAATTCTAGCTGTTCTATCATTGGGCACTTAAGAAAATTTTCTCCAATTTAAAATTTTGATTCTATAGACTATGATAACTTTGAGGAATAGAGTTTTATAAGTAGGCTAGAATAACTCAATTTCACAATTTTGTATGATTTGCAGCTGAAATGATACGATTTTATTCCTTTTAATCTGGCATAATGGATAACTGTAAAACTGGTAAGTGTAACTAAAATCCCTAAACAGTATACCTGGAACAGGTTGAATTGGCAAATGCTGTGAGAAAAATGCATTGATACAGACAGGACAATTCAGAGTAGGGTGGTAAGAACTTCTGCACAACCTGAATCATAATCTATGTCAATGAGTTCCACATTTAGGAATGGTTAGAAATGTAAATGATCATGTATATTTTCACCAAAATATTTTTTTAAAATTTAATTTAAGAATATAAATTCTTTTACCTTAATTTAAGGAGTGGCTGTGTCACCCACTTCTTCAGCTGTCTTCTTCCAAATGAAGTATTAGTATGGTCTAAAACCCAAAGTAAACTTCCATGGGTTTTCCTATCAGTCTAGAAAGATCAGAAAATAAGTTTTATTAGCTACAAAATTGTGTTTTTCTCAGGAGCTCTGGTGGCTTAGTAGTAAAGACTTGCACTACCAACCCAAAGGTAAGCTGTTCAAATCCACAAGCTACTCTGTGGAAGAAAGACAGGCAATCTCCTCCTGTGCGAGTAAGCCTCTGAAAACCCACTTGAGGATAAGCTATGGGTAGGTTCCAACTTGATGGTACACAACAACATGCACTTTCTTGTACTGAGAAGTACAGTGTGGTTAAGACCATTTCAGAGCTTCCACTTTAAAGAGAGATGCTCTCACAGCACTCCTGAATAAATGGAAGGTAATGGAGATAGTACTGAGTCACACTGTGCTCTAGGAATTTATCCTTTAAGTGTCTTTAGTGCTTTTTATTAAACACCTAGTAAATATTTGTCTATCTATGCTTATCATTAAGAAGGTAAGCTCTAGGAAAATTTACAACCAGAGATTACAATTAATTTTAGCCAATGTGTCCTTATAGTACAGAAAGCCTGTTGATAACTCTTTTATTTTAAAACACAAAAACAACTGTTTCCTTTCCAGTCAGGATTCAATTTTTCCATCAAATCAATTAGCAGGCACTTCTAGAAAACCTACAATAAATTCAGTACTGAGACTGGCAAAGGTATGTTGAGACACAATCCTTGCCCTCAGGATACTTAAATCCAAATTTAAGAGAAAAAATTCATAATGAGGACTTGACACCAAGTGGCTGGAAGCAGCTATCAAACATGTGGTCTAAACTCCTAATGCCTTCATCCATGACTCAAAATCCATTACTACCCAGTTGATTCCAACTCACAGCAGCTCTGTAAGGCAGATGAGAACTGCCCGGTAGGGTTTCCATGACTGTACATAATTATGGAAGCAGACGCTCACATCTTCTTTTTTCTGCTGAGCAGCTGTTGGATTCGAACTACCAACCTTTCAGTTAGCAGTCAAGTGTTTCACCACTGTGCCACAAGAGCTCCATGGTAGGAAGACAGTGGAAGGGAATTAATTACTATTTCACTACTTGGTATCATTCAAGAAGCAGGCACAAGCAAGAGAAGAGCAAGAGACACTGGAGTCTCACTTTCACAGACACGTTCATGGCATAAAACAGCTTTGCTCTCCCCACTACACAATACCTTTCCCAATGTTTTTGTCCACAGTTCCATGAAAAGAGAGGTCAAAGACAAAAGGCAAACATAAACCAAAGACATTTTTTTCCCCACTCTATTCTATAAGGTCTTTAAACAGGTTCATTCCAGCTAAGAATTTGTATTTCCATCCCAGATACACTGATTCAGAACCTACATTTCCACATAAAAATCACTTTGGTGAAAGTCAAAGCTACATGCAATAAAAATTTGATTAGACACTGTAATGAACCAAGCAATTGTGATTAATATAATAAAACAAGCATCTATAAATGAATAAAAAAAATTTAAAAATCAAAATTATCTGTAAACTTTCATTCACATTAAAAAGTAACTCTTTAAAGTCAATCACCTAGGGATTTATTAAAACATAGTTTATGATTCAGAGTATCTGGGATGCAAATGTGAATTCTCCACAGGAGGTTGAATTGGAATTAACTAGTATGAAGCTCGGGTTTCTACAAGGACCCAAGTCCTGATAGCACAAGGGTTATCAGAGCAATTTGATTATAGATGATTGTGCCTTAGGAACTTGATTTCAGAGTTGACTCCACTGTAACAGGATTTATATAGGGACAATATGACAGAAATTACGGCTGTGTGTGCAAATTCTGTGAGCTCTTCTTTACCCAAGAAACATCTTACTACTTTTTTCCTATCCCTGGAACAAACAGACTTTAATGAAAGAGATCTGCAAAAAAGATTCTAAGCTTTTAAGTGATGGAATCAGAAAATAAAAATGTTACTGAGGATATCCAGGGTTGACTTGAATATATGGACTGGAACAAATAAGGAAATAAAATTATAATATACAGATCCAGAATCAGGAGAATAAATTTAGCATTTACTTTAATTCATAAATATGGGTAAGTATTTCTGAAGAACTTTAAACCATTTGATGTATATCAAATAACAACTTAATCAAATGATGTGGAATTGCTTTTGATTTCTATGGCATGATTTTATAACATTAGTTTACAATATAACATCTCATATTTTCAAGTGATAATAAAATAAAGCAATAATTTTAATGTCTCTATGATCTTCCAAATTCACCAATGAAGAGCAGATAAACAACAATGCAAATTTATGAAATGAAATATGTGTAGTACAGTTATACATCATATCTCACAGTAACATGTTTTATATACTGGATCAAGAAATAAGACCAAAGATAGTAAAAAGTTAAAGATATGTGCAGAAAATATGATCAAGCAGGAAAAAAAATCATCTATTTCATTTAAATTCCTAAAGAAGATGTCTTTTGAAAGAAATATATAACATTAGTTCCCTAATCTGAAGTTTTTTTGAAGATATACAAATTGTTCTGTGGGCATGTCCTTCAATAAATATCCTGCAATAAAGAGAGGGAGCGCTGGTGGCATAGTGGTAAGAAGCTTCTCTGTAATCTCAAAGGCATTAAGTTCAAATCCATTAGTTAGTTGCTCTGCAGAAGAATGATAGGCAGTCTCCTCCCATGTGATTAACTGGTTCTGAAAACCCACTGAGCGTCAAGTCTGGGTCAGTTCCGATTCAATGATATACAAGAACAAAATAGAGAAATAATCTATAGCTCTCAAAGAAATCCCTAAAGAAGTGTTTCAGTATATTTGTGCCTCCTAAAATTGTACAGTCATCAAGTAATAAAAACATGAGAGGCAGTTGAAGAAGCTTATTCTAATTTCAACTGCACACCTGAGAATAGACTGCACCCTTATTTATTATTTTCAAGATCATTTTGAACCAACTAGCCCTTCTGCTTGCCTGACCTGATTCTGCAGGACTTCCAGATTCCGTAATGTTGTTCCATTAATTGTCATATATTCCATTTCACTTGACAGCTGTTTAAAATTCCTATAAAAGAATGAAATACAATCATCTATGATGTAAGTGCAGAAAGAAATAAAAAACTACCTTGGCACCAAAAGCATTCCAACAATATTAGGACAAAAGTTAGCTCTTTAATAGGAAATCATACCCAAAGAACCAAGAGAAAAATTCATGGGCCACCATCTTCCATTGATGCTGGCACTGTTAAACAGATTAATGTGAGAAGTGCTCCTGAATCAACAAGGAGAACAAGGAAGGGGTAAAACAATATTTCATTTAACATATATTTATATTAACAATATAGCAGTATTTTAAAAATATTCCCAATAGTACCAAATGTTGTCTTTTACCACTCATAAAAAATGCGGTTGCACCTTCAGGAACAAGCTATACAAATAGATGGGAAAACATGCTAAGATATTTCAAACCGTCCTCTTCTTTCTTTAATATGACAATTCTGATGTTGCTGCTGTTGGATGCCACTAAGTCAGCTCCAACTCATAGCCACCTTATGTATAAGGGAATAAAATCCTACTTGATTCTGCATCATCTAGACAATCTCCTCTGTGCTTTAAGCCCATTGCTATAGTCACTATGTCAAATTTAAGGTGACCAGCATTCTTCTATGTGCAACAAATGCTAGTTATTCTATGGTTAATAACATGTATTTAAGTGTTTGTTGTTTTCATGTCCCATGGGTTTGGAACCAACTCATAGCCGAACTTTCAGGATTTTCTCAGAGGCTGTAAATTGCATGTTAGACTGCCAATCTTTCTCCTGAGGAGCAGCTGGTAGATTCAAACCATCTGCCTTTGGGTTGACAGCCCAACTCTTTACCCCCTAGGCCACCAGAGTTTAGTAGAATATAAAAGTGAAAAAAAAAAGTAGGAATTACTTCCTCAAAGTCAGTTTAAAAATTAACATTCTCCTTTTACAGTAGGGACCTGCGCTGTCAACCTAAAGGCAGATGGTTCAAATCCACTAGTTGTTCCAAAGAAGAAAGATCAGCAATCTCTCCCATGTGATTTACAGGCTCTGAAAACCCATCAGAGGGTCAGCTATTAATTGGTTCCAATTCAATGACAATAAATTTGAGGGTTGGATTTTTTAAAAGGCTCAACTTATAGTTTAATAGTTTTTAACAGATTTGGGAACTCGGGTTGAAATTTAAATAATGACATATTTTAACTATAACATATATACACATATATACAACATATATAATTGAACTATTGACACATATTTCCAAGTTTAATCAGTTAATGCATTATTTTAAAAGAGTTCAACTCCCTTTATAAACCAGTCCTTAATTTCTGTCAACAGCACTTAGTTGATCACTTCTTTTAAAAGCAAGAAAAATTACGGCCAGTCAGTAAGTTTTCTGGAAGAAAATCACAAGTGGCTGAGTTATAAGCTTAACCATATTTCTCATGGCTGTAAAAAGATTTAAATAAAATCCAGTTTCCCAGGACAGTTATGAAAACAAGTATTCATCCAGGAATTGAGGGGGCCGAAAATAAGAGTCTATCAAGCTAGTCCTCAATGAGAAATCCCTGTACATACAGATAAAATACCCTAACTAAGGCCCTGGAGCCCAAGTGAGAGAAAGAGAAATAACTTACTGTGTATTAGGAACATTGCAAAGCAACTGAACACTGTCCTTCAGCAGCTATAATTCTTTTATGCAGGCTTGACCTGGCTTCTCAATGATGATGACTTAGTAATGATTCTCAGAGGAAAGCAACTACAACATTGATTGACAGCAGGTGTGAGAACTGTTTGATAGTCATTTTATGTTCTTCTACCCTTCTTGGCCTAGTCGTAAGGAGATGCACTGCCATCCCAAAGGCATGTGATTTGAATCCATCAGCTGTTCCTAGAGAGAAGGATGGGCACTCTTTTCCTGTGTGATTAAACTGTCTCTGAAAACCCACTGGAGGGTCAGCTATGAGTTGGTTCCAACTCTATGGTACACAACCACCAACACCACCTTTCTTCGGGGGCCTTATGCAGCCCTGGATTTATGCCAGGAAATATGGAGGCAGCTACTTAGGCACTGGAAAAGATTAATATTTGTTCCCATTATCAAGAAAAGTGATCCAATAGAATGAGGAAATTATCAAACAATATTGTTAAGATCACATGTAAGCAAAATACTGCTGAAGATCATCAAAAAATATCTAGAACAGTATGTTAACAGGGGAAATGCCAGAGGTGTAGGCTGGCTTCAGAAGAGGCTGTGGCATCGAGGATGCCATTGCTGATGTCAGATAGATTCTGGCTGAAAATAGGTAATACCAGAAGACTGTCTATTTGTGTTTAATTGACAATGTAAAGGCACTTGACTACGTAGATCGTAACAAATTATGGCTAACATGGAGAAAAATAAGAATCCCAGAACACTTAATTATGCTCATATGAAATCTATATCTAGACCAAAGAGCAGCTTTCTGAACACAGCAAGGGAATACTGCATGATTTAAAATTAAAAAAAAAGGTGTCAGGGTTGCATCCTTTCTCTGTACTTATTCAATCTGTACAAATCACTTGAGAAGCTGGACACTATGAGAGGAATGTGGAATCAGGATCAGAGGAAGACTCATGAACAACTTGTGTTATGCAGATGACACAAGCTTGCTTGATGAAAGTGAGGACTTTAAATGCTTGATGATGAAACAGATGATGAAAGACAACAGCCTTCAATATGGATTGCATCTCAACATCAAGAAGACAAAAATCTACATCACTGGACCTATAAGAAACATCGTGATAGATTGAGAAAAGACTGAAATTGTCAACAATTTCAACTTACTTGGACCCACAATCAACAGCCTTGGTACCAGTAGTCAGGAGATCCGCTGTCAGAGACCTCTCCAAATTACTGAGGAGCAATGATGTCAGTTTGAAGACATGCAGCCATAGTTTTTTAACTACTTGGTATGCATCTGAGAACTAGACAGTGAATAAGATGATGTAAGAAGAATTTAACTGATGCCTCTGGGTTCCAGTGTTGGAGAAGAGTACTGAATATTTCATGCATTGCCAAAAGAACAAATAGATAGTCTTGGAGAAAGTGCAGCAGCCAGAATACTCCTTGGAGGCAAAGATGATAGAGCTTCATCTCACACATCTTGGTCATGTTGCTAGGAAATGCTAGTCTTTGGAGAGAGACATCATGTTTGGAAAGGTGGAGAGTCAGCAAAAGAGAGGAAGATCCTAGACTGACACAGTGACTGATGCAATGGATGCCAGTGTGTCAGAGAGGATGAGGATGGCACAGGATAGGACAAGGTTCAGACCTGTTCATAGGGTTGCCGTGAGTAGTACTCAATGTGACAGCACCTCACAACAACAATCACCCTTCTTAGGAGCCCTATTGGTCCAGTGGTTAAGAGATAACCTGCTAACTGAAAGGGTGAGCATTTGGATCTATCAGCTAGCTGTTCCACAGAAGAAAGGGGAAGCAATATGCTCCCGTAAAGACTGACAGCCTTGGTTGCTGATGGGGCAGTTTTACTCTACTCTGACAGGGGTGTTATAGGTTGGAATCAAGTCAATGGCACTGGACTGCTGTTGTACCTTTCTTAATTCATTTCAACTCCTTACTGTCAAGGATTACTTATGTAGTATTTATGTGGAAGCACCTTCCAAGCCTGGCAGTAGGCTCAGAAATGCCTGCCATCTTCCTACAAGAGAAGTGAACAATTTTGTGGTTCTTGTGAGGTTTGGGGGTTTTTTCTCCCTCTTCAGTAACAAACTCCAAGAACTCAGCTAAGATTAAAAAATGTGTAGCATTCTTATCAATCAGTACTAAACAATGAACTTTGACAAAGATTTATAGTCAAAGATCCATATGGAAGAAGGTCTGTGTCTTGGTTTTTCAGTGCTCGGCAGTAGCACATGGAGATGGGTTTTAAAGAACAGACACTTATTTTCTTACAACTGTTCTGCTGTTGTTATAAATTGCCACCAAATCAATTCTGACCTATGTAGGCTCCAGTGTGAAGAGCAGAACTGCATTAAAAAGTGTTTCTAAGGCTGTGACCTGTCAGGAAGTAATGAGGTCTTACTTCCAGGTGCCTCTCCATGGATCCAAACTGCCAACCAACCTTTTGGTTAAGCAGCCCAGTGCCGAAACATCGGTTCCTCCATTCCTGCCCCCATGACACCTTCTTAGAGTTTAGGAGGCTAGGTGTCTGGATTTAGGGCACCAGCTCTAGGTGAAGGCTCTCTACATCCACTTAGATGGTAAATACCTGTTTTGTTTCTCTATGGATCTAGTCAACATTCCTCGAGATCTCTCCCTTGCATTTTACCTTTTTCGCATTGTGCTTAATTGCCTCTGTCTGCTCTTTTTATACCCCAAGGGTTACGAGGCTACATGGATGAACGGAATACCAATCTACTGTGCAAACTTTAATGAGAATTTAAAGAATACCCTATAGTTAATGCAACATTAATATAATGGTAAAAAACTTATTCTCAAATGGGTAAAAGGGCTAGGATTCCAACATAAAATGTAGGAATAAACAACTCAATTTATTACAAGTTGATATCTTCGACAATGAATCAATGTGCTTAGACATGGATATTTTACTATCCCAGCTACTCAAAGTTTACTCTCTAGTTGAAGGGTGGTTAATTAACTACTAAGTACTCTAATCAGGTAGGTTATTGAGTAGTGATTAGGAGGCATGCAGGAGTGGGGAGAGTAGGCGATCTGAAAGCCATAATCTAAAGGCCTCACATCAAAGTATCTTAGTTAATGCCCCTTACCTCCCATCAATAACTAAAGGAGAAGAAATCCACTTTTACTAGTGAAATGTGAAGCATTTAAAAGTAGTGGATTGCCCAGAAACAATACTCATTTACCTATACTCTCATAGGCACACTGTATAAAAATCCTGTAAACTCAGCAGGAATGCCAATCCTGATAATGGTACTTTAGGATTAGTATTCTGAAAGCAAGCCCTCCTCCACCAATTATGAGGGTATGAAGGAAAGAGGACTTGAAGTACTTACTA